TACAGGAGTACGATTCCGGACAAGCGTTCTGAAATAGTCAAATATTCTTTTTTGTTTTCTATAATACGTGTTTGGTATTTTTTTTTTTTAGTTTTTTTTGTATAATATATATAGTATTTGTTTTTATAAAACCCATATTTCGTACCCCAAAACTTTTTTGTCAATCATTTACGATATGACAAGGTCTATTTATCATCTTCACCCTCTATCAAATACAATTTCCCCGGGATCAACATCTCTCGGAACCAACACAAAAACACATCACAATCCTCTCTATTGTCAAACATGTTGTGGTATGTATAGGGTCTTTTCAAGGGTCATTTAAAAACTCTCAACGGGGATTTTATCAGTTGGTTTGGTACCCCACTAGTTAATACCTAGTAGCAGTTTGTGGATGCAGGCTCACATAGCTATAAACCAAGACCGATCTTCTGAACAATAGTCACTCACCTAGTGACTATTATATATAGTCATTTTGAATGTCTTCAAATCCAAAACACCTAAAAACTAATGAGCACATGGTATATTGATGGGGATGTAAAGTTATACAAAATGTTGGAATTAATTAATCATAAAATAAAATTATATTATAAATAACTATTACTTAGGTAATGTAATCGAAATATAGTTATACCATATCATACTCATACCAGTTGGGTAAATGATCCATCAGTCATATCACTCCAGTCAAATGCGTTAGTGTTTATGTAGATGTCGAAACTAGTTGTGAGGTGTCGAAAGTCAATATTATGTTTTGTTAGTTTGTAACTTGATTAAAAGGGCATTTATATTTCGAAACTTAGAATGTCTAGTCCCTTGTATTTTTTGTTCACTTTCATCTTTCCTATAAATAGGGAAGTGTACTAGAGTAGATAAGAGCTTTTTACTGAGCTTATCATTGTAATCTTGTCTAAACACTCTGTACTTCTTTGAAAGCTAATTTGAGCCAAAATATATTATTTACATCTTGTGTTCATCGTTCATACTTGAATCTGATCATATTATTCATTCTTGATTTCATTGCAACTTCAATTGTTATCAGAGAAGGATTTATACAGATTTGATATGTTTTCTGAATTTTTGCAAAAGTTTTGAGTCTAGTTCTCGTTTTAGATTTCAATTTTCCGCTCTTTTGCATCAGAAAATCATCTTAGATTTGCTGTTGTGATTTGATTATGCATTCTAGTTGCTAAATCTGAGTGGTTGATTGGTGAATTACAAGTGTTTTAGCTATTTGATCTCATTCAAATTCAAGCTTTTCTCAAAAACTATTCGTACATCAATAGCGAACTTCAACATGAACACAATGATCATTTTGGAGTGTTAGATTAGAGAATTTGTACAATACCCATTTGTATACTCTTTCTAGATCTAATAAGAACTTAACAAGATTTATTTACTCCTTGTGTTCTTAAGTTTGTATGATGATTCACTAGATCTTTTCTTATTCCACACATTCCATCATAATCAACACCACTTCAGTTTAAAGCGGACGACATAACCATCCATCGATCATCATCCTGTCTACGTTCGATCAACAATGAGATCCACATCATAATGTGTTGTCAATCATAAATTTAATAGTAAAGTAAGTATTGTTATTAAAAGCCTAGTATGTAATCATCACATTCCAACCAACATGTGTGGGTATATGCATATAAGCACGTCCAAAACTCAATTGTCGGTATACCGGTGATAAAATGGTGAGCAAATAACATCAAAGTATCCCGTTGTTTATATAGACTATGTATGATATGTTCTAAAAGATTGTCCAACAGTGCTGGTTATTGGCGTGCTACACCTTTTCTCTTCATCTGTATTTATGGAGACTTATACCATATGGATATAACTTTTTGCTAAAGAAAATCCTAAGAGGTGATGCAAGAGTTTTGTGTTGTTCCCGAGGAATGTCTTTTAAATATGATGGTTCAATATATATGGAGACAGTTGCTCAAGGGCATCATTCAACGACGGTTTCGGTGTACCTAACCCATAATCATGCTCATATAAGCTATTATGGTATGTCGTACCAACATCATCCATGATATGTGTCTATACGGTCCAATAGTATTTAATTATAAATGGAAAAAATAGATATACCATAAAGTTAAATAAAAAATATGCTAAAGTGAAATGTTAAATTAAAGTACCTCTACCCCTTTGCAACACTAGCATCATCTCCAGCAACCCTATTATTAAGTTTTAGAAGCATGAATACCATAGTTTCAAGTTTTACAAAACACATCTCATGTTCCCTTAACTTCCCGCAACATTCACGGACCTCGTTTAGCAACTCAACAATAATTTGGTCCTTATTAGTTGAAGGTACACTGGGTGGTGACGGCAGTTGTGGTAGGTCAGATGCATTTGAACCTATTGCGACATCTATTTGTGCCCTTTTTTTGTCAAGGTTTATGGGTAGGCGAGTGTTAGGGTGATGATGTTAGGGAAGGTGTCATGTGAACATATGTGGTAGGTAAATCAGGATGATCAATCCACGCCTTGCTAACTGTCCACCAATTAACACGACTCTCATCTTTTGTTGGCTTCAACTTCTGTACAAATCTATTATCATACTAACAAAATTATAAAATTATAAGTAAACATAAATTATACATATAGAAGAATATTATATAAGTAATCATATGTCGTTGATGATTATAAATTAGATGTATAAGGGTAAAGGACTTACATGTAGAACAACCAAGTCATTGTTATTGTGTTTCATTTCTTAAGTTGGAGATCAAAATGTGTGCTGAAATACCGGAAAGTGTGCCTGAAACCTATCGTAATACATTTATAATTTGAAATCTGGAAAAAAAGTCAAGATCCATAATGTATCGGAATATAATCCGGAAAATGAATTTGAAATTTGAAATCCATAATAAGTATTGTTGCTCTGGAATAGGCATTTCGAGTGGGTTTTCGATGGCCGGCCCAGTCCAAAATGGACTATGGCAAGGCCCATTCCCCATTTCGAATATAATCGTTATTTTGCAAAAATTAATTTAAATGTTATTTTTTTCAAAAATACACAAAAAATAATGATTAGATTATTCGATTTCCTTAAGTTTATTTTGTCAATAATTATAATTTCTATCCATAACTCATGTCAATAACTATTTTTCTTGTGTAATATCTTTTGATAAATTTCATAAATGGTCCTTATAATATTTGAAAAATTACAATTTTAGAATATCTTTGAAAAATGTTACATCAGTGGTCTTTATAGTTTTATTTTCTTTAAGTTGTTGGTTCTTATCCATGCAAAAAGGCTATCTTACATTTTCAAATATTTTTATTTTTTATTTTACATGTTTTTAGTATTTAATTACTAAGGCCCCATTATACACCCCCTCCCCCACCCCACCCCACCCCACCATACTCTACTATGCTCTTTTCCTCTTGTTTTTATACCACCCACCATAACACATCACCGACCATCATCATCCGTTTAAAAAAAACAAACAAACAGTTTCAGACTTCATAATCCATTTTCACACACCTACACATTAACTTTTGAATAAAATGATCTTTAAACCCATGAATTTATGATCTTCAAACCATCTAAAAATAAATCAAAAGTAAATTTCACACTAGAGTTCAATCTCACACAATCAAAAACAAACATACACAAAATCAAAAGATAAAACACACAAACACACTACATTTCGATCTCACACGCACAATAAAAAAACAAAACAAAAAACAAAAAACAAAACAAAACACACACACACAGTAGTTGAAACACAACCAAACATAAAATCAGAAAATTACATACATGCCAACATAGTGAAAATTGTACCAAAAATTAAATCCACACAACAAGAGAGAATGGAGTCAAGGGGCATTAAAATGGTGATCGTATTGGTTTACAGTAGAAAAAGATAGGGACTGAGGAAAGGGCGATAAAGGATATTACCAACAAAAATGAGATAGTAACGAGGACTAGGCCATCAAGTCACCATCTTTGATGACCTCCTTTCTGATGAGGTGTACCCTAGCATGTTCTCTCTAAGTCCATTGATTGTTGAAGACAAGGATATTACCACCCTTATGGGAACATTGTTGCCTAGAGATGATGGTGACGAGGAGACGGTGGACAAGGGAGGTTATTGGTGATGCTAGAAGAAGTGATGGCGGGTACAGAGGTCCATGTAGTGGTTCTAGGGGTCGATTCCGATCGAGGGATGCCATTAGGAAGATGAAGTTGATAAGGTTAGATACAATGGAAGAAAGAAGGTACCAAATAGCTTCTAGCCATCGATATCAGGTGGTGCCCTCTCTCTTTGAGGTTTAATGTCACGTTCCGTCATGAATATAGGTAAAATTAGATGTTAATTTAGGAGTATATTATATATATTTATATTTCCTTGTTCAAAAAAAAGGTGTAAGGTGGGGTTTGATTTAATAGGGTTTTTTGGTTAAAATAAAAATAGGTTTTAATTAATATAAAATAAAATAAAGAACTAAAAACCAATGAAATGTTTAATTAGGTTATGGTAGTACTTTTAGATCAAATTTGTAACAATATAAAACCAGGTCTAATCATACATAAATCAAAACCGCAAGGACCGTGGTTGTAATGCTTTCCAAAAATATCCTAGAAGTGCCACTATTCAAAAAGGAAAATGGATTTAATAAGGTAATTAATTTTTCGATTTGTTCACATCTGGGGTAACTATTTCTTTTTTGTACACATTTAGATAGCAAACTTTTTGGAAGTATTCACATATGACCATTATAACCAGATATAACCTGCTACAGAACATTTCCAAAAAACTCGTTACCTAAATGTGCACAAAAAAAATAAAATAAAATAAAATAATTACCCAGATATGAACAAACCGAAAGGTAATTACCTTATTAAGTCCATTTCCCATTCAAAAACCACATGGCCAAATTTTGTCCATTGTTTTCCTTTCCATGTCAAGAAATTTGATTAAATTATACAAAAATGATTTAAACCAACAAAAAGACATACCTTTTAATCGTCACATCACCAACAAAAAAGAATGAAACATGATCCACATTAAAAACCCCAAATACATGCACTTTCTTACAAATGGATCTTTACATTTGAGAAACCAACCCTTGTCACAACTTCCAAGTATTTATGAGAAAGAGAGAGAGAGTATTCAAAGTTTCAATCCCAAATACAACACCAAAACTACACCGTTTTATACATAAGTTGCCCTGGGTGCTTAAAAGCCTTAAGGGAGGTCATCATCTCAAGTCTCCATTCTCAACTACTACAACATTCCAAACCGTGGCACACATCAAACTGAAAAACAGCTTTGTAATTCATCTTGATGAAACAAATATAAATTTTATATCTCCATCTAGCTTTTCACAAATTCCTTTAAAGAGAATGCTGACTGTACATCCTGTAATTTAATAAAAAGTATATGAAACAAAATAATTAATTTTTTTTCAAGTTTTGATTTTTACCTTTCCAAGCTCTTCACTCAAGCATTGTCTAACTACAGTTGCCTGTTGTATTAGCCTTTCTAGTTCTGAATAACTTGGCAGCTTTCCATGTGCTGTCAATAACACTGTTAATCAAACACAGGACACGACAAAACAGAACAGACTCATCTATGTAAAAGACATTAATACCCTCGTCAACAAAAAAAATATACACACCAAGAATTGCTCGGTTCAAGCTGTCTGCAACATGTTGTCGATACTCAAAGCTAAGAAGATGAAACATTGGTGATTTTTCAGGTTCTTCATAAGCTAATAGAGCCATAAAATCCTACACAAAAGGAAGTTTTTTAAATTTTAATCAACAAAAATTCAAAACAATAGAAATTAGAAAGTTAAGAAATGAGTTTCTTTAATAATATAATAACATACTTCAAGCTTCTGAACATATTTTGACACTTTCCCAAAAGGGGTCAATTTGGCTTGAGCGAATTCAAGAGCTTCTGTGCTGCCAAACAATATGTAAATTAAATTAAAAATATGTAAATCTTGATATAAAACTGTATTGATATATATATATATATATAAATTTGCTCACCATTTTTTTGAGCATATAAGTTCAACAAAGTGAAGACTCAAAAGGTCAAAAAACAGGTCTTTGTTGTTTTCAAGAAGGTCAGGTGAGATCTGTTCTGTCAAAGTGATGGCATCCAATGCATTGCCTTGTAATGCAGAGTGTAAGATTCCTGAAATTTTATATTAAGAGTGCCTTATAAGGGTATCCAATGTCCAAAAAGGGTGTAAAATGGTGTTAAAAAGAACTTACGTTTTCTTTTTTCCATATTCTCAAGCTGAGGAGGGGATACTTTTAGTCCAGTGGAAGTGATTAGTGATTCCACTGTGTCTTTATAGCAACCGTGTATGAGATATGATAAGATGATATTGTGGGTGTCGTTGTCATTGATTTTCTGACATGGTTGTGAAAGAAAGTTGAAAGATAGAATCAGAAAGACAGAAACTAAGAGAATATGATGCAGGATAAATGAGGGAAGCTCTAAAAGAACATCAAAAAAAACACATAATTGACTGCTGTAATGTCAAGAAAACTGTAAGTTTAGGATTTGGAACAATACGATTACAAAAAGTCAAAAACCATTAGATACTTTGTGATACATTCGTTATTAGATTGTGTAAGGTGTTCTCCATATACGAATTATTCTCTCTCTAGCGCAAACCTGACTTGTTGGAGAATCTCTTCTGAAAAGTTTGTCGCTAGTACTGATTAGAGGCGAAAAAATCCAGTAACAATGGGGATTTCGACCATCGCCAGTTTTGAAGGATTATACTCACTATTTCAAACCTAGGTTTTCGTTTTGGAGAGTATGCAAGAGACTTCGATTAAAATCGACTCGGGAAACTCATTTGCCAA